TCATCGTAACTAATTTCACTTTTTTTCGGCATTTCGGTAAATAAGAACTATTTTCATAAGATTGGTAACTTTTCACTAAATATAATCGTAACTTTCACTTTCAAATTTTAAATGGGAAAATATTTTATGAATTTCTTAAAAATGACAATTTTTAGGTTTAGCTTACCCAGAGTGCCATGGCTTTTAATATTATACAATTTATTCGTTTAAATCAACAGTTAAACTACATGGGTGTAGGCATTTACCGAAAAGAAGTGGTAACTATGATAGCCACATTTGAAAATACTTGATTTTAGTGGGGTGCCTAATACTTTTGGCCAAGACTGTATGTATTGCAGATCGTACGTTGATCGCTGTGTCATCTACCTACTTACCTATACATATCAAAATGAATGTTTATCTGCTTATCTTTTCAAGAACTGTAAACTATGCATTTAAACATGTGATGATCTTTAGCCAAGTTGTTGTTGTGTATATCACAATAATGCAAAAGTCTTCCCAAACAATGATCTTCAGTGGATCAGTATCCGTGTTATATTGGTAGCCAAAAATATCGATGTTAATACCATCATCAACACTCTTCTGAATGATATACCAGGCGAAACAACAACATGTTTATTAGTCAATCAATACTACGTTGAATCAAGGCGAAGTTGTCCAATTCTCCAACTTAACTCCTGTCAAACACGTCACCGCATGTTCTTACATTGAAAATTGGCGTACCCATCATCATTATTCTTTGAAACTAAATCCACAACGATTTTGCAACAGAACCAGACTCTCAGTTAAGAATAAAATGAAAAATGTTTTGACTTAAAAATTCAAAGGAGAAAATGCACCGTTGCTACGTATCTCAAAATACCGACAAATAGGCCATTCGAATTCTCAAGTTTGCAGTTCCCGGTTCGACTCGCTTACGCAATGACTATCAACTAAGCACAAAGGGACAATTCTTACAAGCATGGGGATTAAATTTGGAAAATCCATGCTCTTAACATGGGTAGCTTTATGTGGCCTGGTCACGCGTTGGAAAACCTTCCGATTTACTCGTTTGCGCACCAAATAGAAAAACAAGAAATATTTTGTATCCCAAAACAGTTCAATAAAAATCGAATTGAAACGAAACTCAGCAAAATCACCGTTCTTACGAAATGAACAAAACCCATAAAATTGCTCCTAGTGAAATGATTATTTGTGTAACATCTCGAATTCGAGTCCTGCTTCGACCGACATACAAAAGTTATAGGAAATTAATTGAAATGAAAAAATTACTTAAGTTTTCTAATTGAGGTCGCACTTCGGTATGAATTATCAAGTACCCCGAGCGTAGTTCTGAATGGAATAGAAGCTTCTCCTGAAACTCCTCGTTTTCTTCTTAAAACACTCTTCTTCCACAAAATTTGAATAAATTTCACCTTTTTCAAGCAGTGCGGAAATAAAACCACTTAAAATCAATTTAAAAAAACTAAGCAAATGAATATTTCGGTTCAGAATTTAAAAGACAAAGCAAAGAGCGGAATTCAACAAAAGATCATGCAAGGTAATTAAATATGCATATGCCAATTTCGACCTGTATGACCTTCTTGTATATTGTTTCTTCAAAAATTTCAAATAACAGCAATTACTTCCTTATGCTACAAATTACAATTTATCAGCCCGATCCTATTTCTACTCTAAAAAAAATTCATTTCATTTCCTTTACCAATCGAATTACTAGTCATCAGCATAATTTTATTTTACTTCACTTAAGCGGAAGTGCAATTTAATAAAACGTCTTACGAGGTGTACTCAACGCAAGATCTTAAAGTCGTTACTTTGGTCGAAAAGATAGTAATAACGATATCAGGTTTATTTCCTTCATGTGAAATCTATGCACAGTATGGAAACTTACTAACGCCATAAAAAGCATTGGTAGCCGACAACTCCTAAGGAAATGCTTCGCTACATTGTGATCGACCTCAACACGTACCGTGAGTGAGGTACAACGAGAGTTAATGAGAGAAACGAGACACATTTATTGACGAAAAAAAAAATGAAAAGAAAGTTTAAATGGGGGACTTTTAATACCTGAAATAGTTGGGTTGGTATGTCTACCGTTAGAAATCACCCATTTTGAGGGTCTATTGTGCACATCTGGCTGTTATCTAGAAGCAGTACTGGTCTAAGCGTCCAGTATTGATAATTTGTTGTTGCAACATATGTAAATATTTAAAAAACTAAAAATTAGAAAGTGAATAAGTCAAAAGCCCCACGACATCGTACTCTGAAATATTTTTTTTACGTATTCTGGATACATTTCTGTTTCCTTTGAAAAGAAGATGATTTGCCTCAACTTGTCCCATTTTTCTATTTTTATTATTGTATTGTTAATTAATTTTATTGTTTGTATTAATGCACACCGAATAATAAATTTCATTGAAACTCAAAATTGTTGTACTTTATCTCTAGTAATCTTAATTCATCATTTCTTTTTTTTTTTCAAAAAATAAGATTATATTCGTAATTAGCGACCTCAGAACCACCGAGTAAAGATTTTTATTAAAACTAAAATATTGCATAGTTTTTATGTCCGCCATTTTTTTTCTATTTTTTTTTTTAAATAAGATAAGATTCATAATCAGCGATCTCAATAACCCCGAGTGCTGATTTTTTCAATCATTTAAGAATTTTTTCGATTTTTGGCCACGTTTTTGGCTTTTGGAACCACTATGCGACGACTGAGTGAGCTTGATGAGCTTCAGAAGCTAGCCGGCATTGACAATGCACCGAAATTCTCTGATAAAATTATCCAGAAGATGGATAGTCATGTACGCATCACTTATAGGGAATCTGGTGACCTCCAATGCGCACTGATATTTTGAAGTGTACACTTCTCCAGAAATACCGTCACATTCCAGTTTCAGTTCCAGACTTTCCGGCCATACTTAAGTCCGATTAGTAATTTTGCACACCTGAAGAAGAGCAAAGGGATGGATGCCAAAGGTGTACCAACTGTGTTATTCAAATATGCTGGGCGAAGAACTTCATGCTTGAAAATTGCAACCTAAGTGTATTCGGCTTAAGCCACGAAAATGGAAGCGCCATATTCTGCAACTTAATATTCCATATATGCCATTATATATATATATACATATATATATAATTGCCCCTTGGTAACCGCTGAAGGAATTTTCCACCCCTCCAATTGTGGTTTTGGGTTTTGAGGTTTCTCCAAGAAAAGGAGAGACCTACAGTTTATACTAAGCCGCCTCTGAACGACTGATGGTTTTTTTTTATGAGGAGCTTTATTTAATGCCAAAAATACACTCGGAGGGGTTGACATTCACTGCCGAGGGGCGACCGCAATTAGATAATTTAACAAAATTTTTTATTGAAATTAATTTTTTACAACTTTTGGATGTTAGTCCAACGGAGATTTGAGCCCGAGCCTTCCGAATGGCAGTGCGCAATGCTAACCATTCGGCTACCGCGGTCGTGATTAAGTGAAAAATTAAATTCCACTGTAAACGCGTTGACTTCGGACCTGAGGTTTGTATGCAATTGAAAATTTAAGTCCTCTATCAAAAAATATAAATAATCAAGCTCGTCGGAACGGGCGAAAGCACAAGAGCTTTGACAGTTTTCAATGCAGTGCCCGCTGATGGCGGCAAAAGACGGGAAAGACTTCTATTCCAAACAGGAACGAATAGCGAACTATTTCTAATACAATAATACACGCATTTCGTTTCAGGAACAAGCAATAATACTAGGTCAACGGAAACTGGAAATTCTCGCAATTTAGAGCACAACGCAGTGATTAAACTCGCATTGTAACAGTTGTTGAAACTTGGATTCGTCAGTATGATCTCGAGTCAAAATAGGAGGATAAAAAAGCCGGCGTCGAGGATTATTGCTAACATTTTCTTGGATAGCGAGGGAATATTTCCAAGTGATTACTTGCCAAACTTGGCAACTACAATGAACGGCCGCTATTTCGCTAATTGGTTTAGACCGGCGTGTGAAGCAGCTACTGGATTTACAGAAACTGGCCATCCACCTTACACTCCGGACCTGGCTGCCAATGACTCTTTCCGTTTTTCAAATTAAAAAAATGAGTTATGGGGCCGAAGTTTTTCAGAAGACAGTCAGATGAAAGCGGCCGTAGAAAACCATTTTCAATCTAAAGAATATTTTTTCAGTGGTATAAGGGCATTGTATTTAAGTACTCTAGGTCACGAAAAATTCATCCGCCCCTGATATATCGTATTATTTCGTGGTAAGCTCTATGCATATTTACTATTAAGTATGCTATTTATAATTCGTACATAAATAGCTATGCTGTGCGATGTATGAACATCAAGACACCTTTATTTCCCCTGCTGAAATATATTTGGCAGTTTGGCTCCTCCATTCTTTGAGCAAAGTGTATGTATAACTCGTACAACTCATTATTCCATCATTTGCAGTATTGGTCGCTGCCGTTGTGAAGTATTTAGTAGAACATTTCTCTAGAAGTCTCCTAAAACCGACTCATCGAATGCACACATCATACACGCCTCTGCGCCATATCACTGGACGGGAATGACGAAGGGCTTGTAGACTTTACCTTTGAATCTTCGTCGCGAGAAAACTTAACTTTTCAATTGCCTGCATAGTCTAAGATAGGACCTGTTGGCAAGATTGATTCTGCGTTGGATTTCAAGGCCGAAATTGTTTTTGGTGTTAATGTACTCTTTAGATTTTGGATATTATAACGAGTTGCCCGCACTCTAAACAGTTTATAATATTTCACTCACATTTTTTTAATATTTTTTTTTTTTTTTGTAATTCTCCAATCATCTCGCCCCCAACCGGAAACATTTGCTACTTGTCATACATTTTTCATTAATTTCAGAAAAAATTTCATTGTGTTCAAAGCTTCAATTTCAAATATCTTAAAAATTGGAACAAAAATTATTAGTAGACTCAAATACGAAGTAACTGAAAAATAAAATAAAATAAAAAACGAAAAATCAATTAAATTAATTATTTTCCACGAATCGCCTGTACAAAATAAAATTTTATTTAAAAAATAAGAAACAAATATGAAATCACAAAGATATCTATCAAATTACAAGTGTGAATGCTATGGCCACACATTTTGCAATTGTCCCGACAAATCGGGCCACGGCACAATTTTCATGGAAAACATTTACGATGTCGCCGAGACATTGGCACAAATTATGGTCATCTGTGGCATACATCAGGCCAAGGCGAAGGCGGCCATCGATGTGATAATCTACTCGTTCATACACTATGACGAGATAAGGCATCGCATTGATACCGTGCCACGCAAGCGACTCTGCAAGGAGGATCTTATACATGATCTGGGACGCAAGTGTCTAATGAGTCGCATGGAGGCGCAACTGACTTACTCTATCATCAAACGTGCATTTAAGGTAAGGGTTTCGAAGCCAATTCGATGCGTTGGCAGAGTGTTTAACCTCTAGCTTCTCCTCCCTCTCTTCACTTAGGCCTTCTATCACGGAACCAGTGAGGGCGGTATACGCAATCCCATACTGGAAGCGCAAATGGTGCACTCTCAGGAGTGTCTCTGGGTACACGCTGCCAAGCGTACGGCACAAATATTTGCCAGCTATGAAGGCCTGTTCTTCTCGGCTCAAAAGAATTATGAAGCTCTAATAAAATGTTTATACAAGAAGCTTTACGATCGTCTACAATCGCGCACTAATCCACTCATAATGAGTGATTGTTTGTGTAAGGGTTGTGTACAACGGACCGTCATGGAATTGCCCAAGCCATCGCGAAGTATGTACAGCATACACGGTCCAATTTCTGATGAAGAAAATTTAAGGGTATTACCTGTTGTAAATGGTGCTGGTACCGAGGCGGCTGGGGCATGTGAAATTAACAAAATTACCACTGATAAAAATTGCAATACGGTAAATGGAACTGTATCGAGTACATCACTAAGTCTGCCACGTTGTTATAAGTGCAATTGTCCACGTCTGATATGCGACTGTGACGTGAATCAGGAAACTGGTGTTGTTAAAGATGATTGTGGACAGGGGCCATATAAATGTCAATGGAAACGTATGGATGAGAATGATGTAGCATTGAAGAGACCATGCTTGGAGTTGCCCGTAGAACACGAATGTCCAATCGATTGTGATGGCGAAAGTGTAATATGCGATCCGGAGTGTGAATGTGATTGCGAAAGTTGTGAGTGTCATGGCGAAGACTCTGACTCTGATTATGATGAAGCTGAAACTGTGGAGGAGAAAGTTGAAGAGGAGGATCAACTTTCCAATGAAGCGACAAATTCAACTATTTGCAACATATCGGGTCACGGTTTTCCAGGCGAATATGACGAGTGTCGTGTACCCATTGTGGGACATGTCGTCGAAGAGGAGCCTGATCAATTGGCAGCAATCGCCAGAGTTGTAGAGCATATACAAAAGGGTAGTGTTACGAGTGCAGAAGTAGAAGATGAAATGGAAAATGAAGGTGCTGAAATTAATAAAATTTTGGCCACATTGATTTGAATTTGCTGTATTTCGGTCAGGATTTAGTTGAGCTCTTTGGAAATTTTAACGTTTGGAAAAAAAATTCTTTTTTGTTATGAGATGAGTTGTAATATTTATAGTGATACTTAAATAATAAAATAAAATTTATTGAAACGGTAAGCAGTTGAAAGCAGGCTACGACAGCACAGAAAGGAGAGTCTCTACGCTATGTAAACTGACGTCAACCGACATCAAAAGCTTCATCAGGATAGAGAGTCCTTTCTCGAAGAACGAAGTCCAAACTCTACAAGAATACTCCAGCCTTGAGAGTTTTCGATGCAGTTCCCGCCGGCGGAAGCAGAGAAAAACCTCCACTTAGTGGGACACACAAGGCAGAGAAGGATCTAGCTGTAATTGGTATTTCCAATAGGCGTCAAACTGCAAAAACAACAAATGAATGTCGCAATGTTTTTAACTCTGCTATAATCGCGTAGGCGTCTACTCCAGTAAAGAAGAAGAAGAAATTTTTTCACATAACTGTTTTTGAACAACAAGTCCAGTACTAACCATAATGTTTCCTCCGATTATTCATTTTTAAAAGACCTATGTTCAGAAGAAAAGTAATTCGGAAAGGTTCATTCTCTCCATTGTCTATTTTATTATTTTTGATTTGTTTTTTTTTGCACTAAGCTTTATTTTTTGGTTTATTTTTTAGTTTAATTTTTTTTTTTAAGTTTTTGTGTTATGTTTTATTTTATTTAATTTAATTTAGTTTAATTTAATTTAATTTAATTTAAATTGATTTAATTTAATTTAATTTATTTTATTTTTTTTTAATTTAGTTTTATTTTATTTTATTTTATTTTATTTTATTTTATTTTATTTTATTTTATTTTATTTTATTTTATTTTATTTTATTTTATTTTATTTTGTTTTTTTTTTTTAGTTTATTTTATTTAATATTGTTCTTAATTTTTTGCTTATAGTAGAAACATTAAAACAGGAACAGTTGTTGAAAACTCTAAAGTTATTAGCGGTTTTATTAAAATTCTCAAGAAAATGCCAAGCAGAAGAAATAGTAAATAAATAAGAGGAACGTTTAAAAATAGATACAAAATGAATAACAAAATACAATTGGTATTATAAAAGCAACAACAATCAAAATTGTAAATTCATCGTAATGAAAATTTACCTACGTCAGGCAAACAGCAACATATGATATGCAGTTAATGGTCGATCGTTATCTCGATGCTGCAATCAAAACTTACTTGGAAGATCTCTAGATAAATTTACGAGTATTTTTTTTTTTTGTTCTTTCCATTTTAGATATCATGAGTGGTGCATTTTTTTTTTAGATATGCGTTCATGGTCTACATACACACTTATGTACATATGTATGCTCACATACATACCAGTATGTCATTAAGAACTTAACGCACAGGTGTCGTTCATTGCTCCCGTGATGAGCTCTGATTTCACAGCGGGTACAACATTTAAATAGTCACAACATACAAGTTCGTAAAGGTCGTATGTATGTACATATGTATGTGCATATACTTATATACACATCCCAAGCAAATCTTATGAAGTAAAGCAATATTGGCTTTAAATATTTGAATTTACGAATCCACGGACTTTTTCTCCATTAACTATTAATATACATGTTAATATGTAAACATATTTGTACATACATATATATGTATGTATGTAAACATGTGTGTAAATATTATTGCTGTAATTGGTTTATTGATCATCATTAACAACGAAAATTTATCATAATTGGCGTAAAAAGTAATGCACATAAAATATGAAATTTAATAACTTTAGCAGATTTCAATATTTTCTCGTATTACCTACAAGTATGCTCGTAGATACATACATTCAAACATATTGGAAGGATTCAAATCCTGGTGTCGTACTAACATCCAAAAGTTATAGAAAATAATTTAAATAAAAATTTAAGCTGAAATTTCTAATTGCGTTCGCCCCTCCGCAGTGAATGTCAACCCCTCCGAATGTATTTCTGACATGAAATAAAGCTCCGCAAAAAAACCATCAGCCGTTCGGAGGCGGTTTAGTGAAAACTGTAGGTCAATCCATTTATTAAAAAAAAAAACACAAAATGGAGGAGAAGCTCGGCCGAAAATCGATTCAGTAGTAACAAAGCCCCAGTTATATATATATATATATAGACTAGTATATATATATATATATATATAACGAAGTGATGAAACTTATTAAGTTATTAATTTTTTTCGTATTTCCTAGTTAGCAGACATTTTTCTGTAAAATAATGGACAGTAAAAATCCAGCAAGCGAACAACCACTTAACAGGCAGATAATTTCAGACGAGCCCGGAGTTATCGCTGAGGGTCGCTCGACGGTTACCGGAGTACTTCGCTAAAAATGAAATAAAATTGGAAGTCGTTTTTTATTTTTAGCATAGGTCCGTCTTCTTATCGGTTGTAAAGACAGTGAGCAGGTTCTTGCAACTACATACGCAGAGAACGAGTAGATGCTCGCCGCATATAAATAAAAATATATCGGTAAAGGTGGGAAGTAGTACCGGACCACGACCTTCCAGATGTCGATGATGCCATCCTTCTAATTAACGATAGGAAAGAGAGTAATTTTTCAACTTCTTTTGAAGACTAAAACAGGAAAAAGTTCAATGAGGATATATTGGGCTATTCAATAAGAGTTATATGATTTCTGAACAAAAAAAAGCCCAGTAATGTTAAGGAAATTCAAATGTTTTTTAATTAATGTGGAGTACAATCAAATCAGCAATTAAGTTGTGAATATAACATCACTCAAATGGACTCCACGCCTTGTTTTGCAGGAACGAATTCGATGAACCCAATTTTCGAGCACTTTTTCCACTAAATCAAGTCGTGTGTCCACACGAAAACACATTTTACTCACGTCGTCGAAGAGTAAACATCGCAGCAGAACATGGCAAGCGTGAATATACTGAAGTAAGCGAGAAGTGCAATCACATTATTCGCTTATTCGTCGCACATGTTTGAATGAACGTAAAATGAATTGATATGAATTGGTAATCGTGTATGGTAAAACGATTTCATACCGATCGAAAACATTTGTATGTCGTGTATGGCTACCTTTAGCTAGTTAGTACTATAATAACAACAATTGAACTGCGGCAAGTGTTCATATCGTCTCAATAAATTCTCAATTTAATCAAGAGGGAGTCGAAACATTCTCACCTCTTACCGCAGCTCTTGTCACCTACTGTTTGCTTAGCATAAACGAATAATTAACTTTCTCTTGCATAAATACAGTCACACACATACATATTTAAATATATATGTATATACTTTAGCATATAAAAGATCAATGAGTGCAAATGTACCCTGGAGGAAACATAAAACTATTGAGCAAAGTTGAGAGAAATAACAATTCGTTTAAACTCCAAGGTCATATCAGTCGGAATCAACGGAATTCTTGGCATGAGAACTTCCGCATCTCAAACACGCCACTTTATTCACCAACTTGTCTAACAATGTGACTCATCGGATGTTCTTGTGCGTCGAAAATGTTATTGTGATTTGTACAATCATCTCGACAATTTGACATTTGTGACCGAACCGCTTCAGAAGCTGCATCTTGTGGCTTCATGCTTGAACGGCCCGAAGGCGCACCGGAGGAGTATTGATCGCTTACCTCAGAGGTGTTTGAGCGCGGTTCAAATATGGACACCAGCATTGCACAAAAAAAGTTTGGACCTACTAGAATGAGTGGGTGAGAAAGAACATCATGGATGAAATTTCCATCAAGGAATCACAACGGAATCATAAAAAAATCTGCCTATTTCCTTAATCGGATGGTGACTGATAATGAGAACACTGGATCACTTACAGCAAAGTCAAGCAAAAACGGTCCGGTGATCCGGCACAAACGGTCTCTAAGTCAGGATAGACGGCCAGGAAAGTTTTGTTGTGTGAAATCATTTACTATGAGCTGCTCTCCTACTGTTAAAATCTTATTTCGGAGCTGTACTGTCAGCAATTCGACCGGCCAGAAGCGTCCAGCTTTGGCAAATAAGAGGGAAATTGTGTATCATCAGGACAACTTCAGACCACATACATATGTACATACAATACCACATATATATAGTAACTCGCCAGAAGCTCTCTTAGAGCTTGGTTTAGAGTTTCTTATGCATCTAGCTTATAGGCCGGATCTTGCACCAAGTGATTAAAGTCTATGGCGAATGCTTTGGCTGGTGAAGAATTGGTCTCAAGTGTAGCCTGTGACAAGCGATTGCCCCAATTTTTGACTATTGAGACAGGGGTTTCTATAAGAGAGGCATAATGGCATCAACTTCAAAATGACAAAAGGTTAACAAGCGATATGGGGCATACTTGAAAAAAAATTATATATTTCTTACTATGATAGATGGAGACTTTAATATAATGCAAAAATAAATAATAAATAAATAATGAATAAAAATTAAATGAATTGCTTTTTACTATACCAAGAGAACGCTAGAGAAGAGTACCTATTGGATTACTCCAATACACCACACGGTCCACAAATTTTTCCTCTTCTTCTCTCTTCTTTTTTGATAATTTTCATTTGTTTCTAAACGAAAATTTTCATTGTTTACATAAGTTTTATCATTATGTTATTGTAGCATTGATGGAAACTTTGTTCGATGCACTGACGTCTACTCTCAACAGCCATTCCTCTCAATTGATTACTCAAATGATCCGTAACGTTCTTATGGGTTTTACAAACTACTGTCGTCGACTGTAGATTTGTACTCAACTAAAAACACGTTTCTTCTTCTTCTTAATTATTCTTATACTCGCTTCATTCCGGTATTAATTACTTTGGCTTCCGAAATCGAAATTTACATATTTAAGCCGTTTCAAGAACGATTGGTACGATTGTATCGTAAATAGATTATACTGAATTTATGTGAAAATCCTTACAACCATTTAAAAGGTGAAAAAATTACAAAAACCAAGTATTAGTAGACCCAAAAGATTGCAGGAAGGAAGGTAATAAAACCGCATTTACTGCATAACGAAGCAAAAAAGTGATGAAGTTTATACATACATATACACATATGTGCATATGTAATATAGGGCTAGCCATTTAGTGGTTTCAAAAGGGTTGTATTTTGACATCTGTGAAACTGAACTGGAAACACT